ATTACCACGAACATAGAATTTTATCGAACGTTCGTTTATATTTTTTGTTTTTTTTTTCATAATCAGGAGGAGATGAAAGAAGCTGTAAGGCTGATTAGAAAAACGTAGTAGTTTACTCCAGGTGACAGCAGAATCCATTGAACAATGAATCAGAGTTAATTGCCCATCCACAGGGTCGACCCTTTTTGAACTGTGATAGGGTTGCGGTCTTAAACGAGGGTTGGTCCTTTGCTGTAGCTTTCAACCGATACTAGCCCCTGCACTGAATGCTGGTTAATCACGTATCTCAACACTAAGGCACTATTTTGACAGTGACGATAGCGATCATTTAGAGGAGAAGGAGGAGGAAAATATGATTATTGTGATAGATTACGACGCTCATTTCATCATAACAGCCATCGCAACACCAATGATTATGTTCATTAAGATGAGTACGAACATTCTTCTGTTCATGATTCAGACTTGGCCACTAGATGTGTCAAAATTGTTGTAACAACTTTATGCGCGTGACTGTAACGACTAAACTTTGAATTACCTTGTCTTTCGCATGAATATTGCATCGCGGCATATTATGCGTATGTTTTACAGGTATTCCAGTAAATATCGTTATCTTGGTTAGAGTACTGATCGAAATGCCGGTCAGTATTGCAGGTTCAAAGAAGTTTTCGGGCTGCTTAAGTAAACACGTTTACAACCTGGTCATCACTGTTCCCATTCATATGTTCATTTCGTAATTCGCTCATTCATTCATCCATGCACTCGTTCACTCACCCATCCATTATCTCATTCATTCTTTTATTCATTCCGTCTTTATTCATTTTCAGCACTTGCTTTCCTTTCTGATCACTTGGAAAGCTGCATCGAAAAGCATTTCCAATTACCCCAGTTTTCCGCAATTCCCTGTCAGCCATTTTGTCTGTGGTCTGCTTCTGGGCAGTCTTCATGACTTTGATATGAACGTTTACGTCCGAGTCTGTTCAGCAGCAGTTTGATCACATGTCCGCAGTACGGCGTTTGGATCCTAGACCTGGAGACATTCAGCTCATAGGCAAAGGCATTTCTAAATGTTGTCTTTTAAAGCTTATTCAGCCTCATTATATCACAGAGTTCTCGAATGAACTTCATTTCTGTCAGTTATTTTCGGGATTGCATTCTTCTGCTAAATATCCGTTATTCATGACAAAATTTGAGACGGCGTAACTTTGCCTTTCGTTTTGAATTATTATTATAACAAATCAATTAACGTTCTTAGTTTTATAATGCATCTTGCTAAGGCTGTTAATTTAGAGCGGCGGATATAGTCGAGAAGAAGACCCGTATTCCTGAAACAGACAGGACTCCGTTGGAACCGCCACCTTTGGCGGTGGTGATTGTC